GGGGGGGCAAGATCTAAAACCAATTTTAAATATTTTTAAATATAACTAGTATCTATTTTAGGTTGTAAATAACAAGGAACTGCTTCTCATGATGCCACAAATTCATAACAAAACATATCAGGCTTATTTTAATATAAATTTTAAACAGTAACATTTGCCAATGTTTTGTCATGCTTACTTACTTACTGCAAAGTAAAATAATAATCTGAATATTACTTAAGCCAATCACTTACATAAACTAATTTCATTTTAATGAGGCAGCTATTAAATAAAAATCATATATTTAATCATGTTTATCATGTTAAGCTCACAATTTACGTTTTGAATATTTTAACACTTGGGATTTCAGGTTTTCACAGTAGTGAGCAAGAACTGACTGTGTCCTGGGATGTAGTCTTGTGCAGTCCCCATGTCTGTTCCCTTTCTTACTGACTGACATGTACCATAAATATGATGGCTTACTGGGACACACATAAGCCAACCTGTTAATTCCCACCACCATCTTTCCAAGAAAGAGGCTTTATTTTCCATGTTCATGCACTGGGCCAAAATCCTCTGTATGTGTGAAAGCCTACATAATCAACTGGAGTTCCTCAGAACCGCTTTCAAACAGAATGCTACAGGAACCAGCAGATCTGATGGGTTCTCAATCTACTGAATAGTTGCCCTGGCCCCAAAGAAACCTGTCTTGGTCACCTTGCATTACATTACACCTTAAAGACACAAGTGAAAATAAAAATGCAGGTTATGTTCATACTTTCATAGTATCCTTCAGGGCACTGTTGTAGACAGATGGCAAGATCAGTTACAAGCAGATGTGCAGGGGCGCATGTGAGACAGCTGTCCTGACCTGCACCAGCACAAGTCTCACATGACTCATGGCATGGCCAACACACACCACTCTGGTTTGGGAAGCTGCGAGGTGGACACCGACTCACACACGTGCTGAGAAACACAAATGAAACCCTTAGTAATGGAAGCATACAGATGGCTCCCAATGTTCCAAACTTTAAATTTACTTTAATACAAGGTGTGTATTTTACTAATGTATGTAAAGATCAAGTGGTTAATAATGTGTACATCATAACAATAACAACAATTAATTGTCACAGAATCTGGAAACTATCTTTGGACTATACACATATGTACAACTTTAGCTTTCAGGGATGAGCCATATTGAATGTTCAATGTGGTTCATCCCTGAAAGCTAAAGTTTAACACTGAACTCCAGCAGTAATATCAAAAGAATAATAATTATATGCTTGTATACTCTTCAAATACCTTAACCATAACAAAACAATTTTTAAATATAGTGCCTAGAAAATAAAAGAAAAAACTATTTGTTTTTATTCCAATGTGGCAGAAGTTTTAAATAAAACTGCATTGTTGATGAGAATAAGGGCAACTGAATTAAGAAATTAAGGCTGAATACAGTTTTCTGGAGTCTGTGATTTTCAGGAATAGATTTTCTGAAGACGATTTCTCATACACAGTATCAGATTCTGTATCCAGCATTCTAAAATTCAGGATGTAATATCTGTACTTTTTCTTTGTGACTTTTATAGCAGAATTTTCCTATGTTTGTCATGTTCAAAACTGGTGCTTCACAGTTCTTCAACACACCACGATGTGTGAATGACACCTCTGTCACTGGGCTTCTTAGAAAGCAGCTTGCTTGTTTATACTCATTTAATCAGCGTGTGGCAAGTTGTGGGCTTTCCTCCCTCCCCCTCCCCCAATATATCACCTGAGATATCAAAGGTTTTCTTGTTTCTCATGAAAAACAAATTGTGAATTGTAGACACAACACTCTTCAACATACCATTTTTATTATTTATTTAGTCTGTATCCAAATTCCTCTGAATAAAGACCGAAAATCCTAAAATCCAAAAAGTTTTCTGGACAAGGGGCCTAATACTGTATATTACTTTGTGTTATGGTGCATTTTCTAGGAATTCACATGCTGAAATCAAAAAATTTCAACATACTAATCTTAAGAGACTTTATATTAATAAAAACAAAAGTCATACTTGTCCAGCCTATAGTGTTTGCAGGCAATGCATTGGGTAGGACCCTTGCCATAGCATCCTTGTGAGTCACATTCAGGATCACAGTTGTGAAGGACTTTCTTGCTGCTGTCATCTCCTGTTCCCATGAGATTCTCCTGCAGAGATGAATCTTTGCCAGCAGCTTCATTTAGTGAAGCTACTGAAGCTTGAGGGTCACTTCCTGACACACTATATATGTTAGGGAAGTACTGAAAACTAGGATTGAAAGAACTCCCACTGTAAAATGTATTTGAATCCAATGTGGGAGAAGCAGATGGTGACTGTGAATTAGGAAAGATAAAGGAGTTCTGTGAGGCAGTCTGCTGAGGCACTCCTGAGTGTCCTGATGAGGAACCAGAAGGCCGCAGGCGGATTGGGTTAGTTGCTGTGCCATAGAATATCAGTTGCCACTTCTTTAGAATACCTGGAAAACATGAGACAGGAGTGTGACAGTAATACTGGTAACAAGATAGAACATTAGTGGAATAAGATTGACAGACAACGTTTGCCTTCAATTTGTGCTAGCAATTTTTGTTTATGTGATAAGATAGGGTTCAAAAAGCAGGTAGATGGCAGACATAGTTATGGCCTAAATAAAGTATTGTCTGTGCTACTTATTTCACAAAATCTAATAACATACCATAGAACTACACTCTGAATAACCCTCTTCAGTAAACAAGTTCCTGAAAATGAACTTCTCTGATTTCAACACTAGAACAAACTCTAAGAACGTGCAATGAGCCTTATTTTAGTGTCTGCATGTTTGGTGACAATATATAGATTAATATGTATGAAATAACAATCCTGAAGTGTTATGAACTAGAAGGAATGTTTATTTCTGAGCACCTAATATAAAAGAAGAAAACTCTCAGAAGCAGTGAAATTAAGTACCTGCTTTTTTATAATTTACATTATAATTCAAGTATTACAACATTTATAACAGTCATATGTAATCTACTTGTGCAAGTATCCATAAATTCACACCAACTATTGACTCCTGATAAATTCTTACAGAGTAAAATCACATTAAATTCATTCTTAAAGTTCTTTCTAAAACTCAACGGTATACATAGGCTAACTAGACCCTTTGCTTCCAATACACAATTTCCATGAAATCTGAAATCCAAAACTTCCAGCCCTGATTTTACTTCCCAACAGCTACAAAAGCTTCAGCACAATTACAAACATTAATGGTTTTGCTCAATATGATCACCAGTTGAATTCTTGTATTACCCTAACATGAAAATAGTCATAAGAAATCAAATAAAGGGGTTGTCCATTTTAAAATACTAAGTAAATAAAGGGGTTGTCCATTTTAAAATATTAAGTAGCGCAACAACCCAGATGACAGCAATCTTCTAACACACCTGGCTGGTTCACATGACGATTTCCAGCATTGATGACTTGAAGTGTCCACCTTCCATCAGCTTTCTCACCCCAATAATGAACACTGAGGAATGGCCAATCATCAAAATTCGAACTAACAACATCCCTTGGGCGTTCAAAGAGCAAAACTGATGTGGTGCCCATTGGGGAGGTTAGAAGGATGCGCAGATTACCACGTGGGAAGAAACGCAATGAAATCTTGCACTGAACATGTTCAAGGAATCTCACTTCATTCAGAGTTCCACTACAGCCATTAACATCCATGTGAACTTGAAGTGTGGATCCAAGGGTTGGGTCTATTTGTCTGTGAAGGAAGAAGATTAAAGTATTTCTGATTATTAGAAATCAAAGAAAAATCAGTCCCTTTTAATTTCAACAATAACTTTAATAAACTCTTCAAATGTTCATAAGGAAGTATAAAAATGTCTTGCAGACCAATGTTTCAGAACTAGACGATCAGAAACCAGTGTTGACCTACAGCTTGGTTTAAGATGGTTCACAAGTCTAGTTACCTGTGTGTGTATCCACAGATATAAAACATAGTAATTTACAACTAGTCATTATTTTTGTTTCACTTTAGTGAGTAAATTGTTTCCTGACAGTGTCCCTTTAGGCAAGTCAACTGTGATTACTTTTCACCATTAGGTTTATAATCTGACTGGAAAAGTACAACAACTCAGAAACTTTTCATATGTCCTTGCATATAGCATTTGATATGTGAATGTTCAATGTAGATGATTGTCTCTTAGAAACAGTGAATTTATTTTGTTGTTATATGAATATATTCAAATGTGCTGGTAATGATTTTTCCTTTTCTTTTATTTATGTTGTACTATGCAGGACACATAGAACATTAGTCCTCATAAAACTTACTGCTATATTACTGGGCTGTGAATGAGAAAATATTGAGAACCACTGCTATGAACACATATACATACATATTTTTTTCTCAAATAGAGAGTTAATTCATAAATACAGTATGAGATTATTAAGTTTTTCTCAAGTAAAGCCTAATAAATCATTATTGTCAAGACTGTGTTACAGGAAAAGAGCGAAGAAAATCTGGGCTTGGTATCCTGATGAAGGAACCAGTAAGCTCCTCTGAAATATCAATCAACATTTATCACACTACATGCTGCTACATCCAGAAAACAGCAATCTTCAAATCTTCAAATGATTTTGTGAACAACAAACTGCAGAGTATATGAAAAGATGAAAGAAGCATAATGAAAGAACACTGTAAGCTGCTGATATTACCTCTGGATTGTTGGGTTTTTGGACCTTTTCCATCATCTGATTTTATAAAACACACAATGATTCGAGGACTGGATCTGTCCTTGGTTCATTTGCAGTAAAGGTGTCTCCTACTCCACTTCCACATTTGCCTTAGTCATCACATTCATATGCCTTCTTATAATTGTTATTGTTATGAGCCAGGATAGCTCAGTCAGTACAGTGACTAGCTACGGGCTGGACGGCTGGGGTTTGATCCCCTACGGGGGCAGAGGATTTTTCCTCTAGCCTCTGCGTCCAGACCGGCTCTGGGGCCCACCCAGCCTCCTATCCAATGGGTACCAGGGTCCTTTCCTGGGGGTAAAGCCGGCCGGGGCGTGATTCTGACCACTCACCCCCATCCAGTGCAAAGGTCACGAGAGAGAGGAGCTATACCTCCACTCACCCAAGTGCCTGTATGGCACGTAACGGGAGAAACTTCACTTTACTTTTAATTGTTAATGTCAATCTTATTATCTTCTCCTATTTATATAACCTAATCTCAGGTGCTTATACACATGTAGTTGTTCTGACATAGGTTGCCCAGTGATTCAGATTAATTCATTCTAATAGACCCCACAGATTAGGTGCTACCTTCAATACACCTCAAGACAATGACAGCTCCAGTCCTCAAAACAATTGTGTTTCATAACATCACATGATGAACAAGGTTTAAACATCCAACAATCCAGAACATATTACACCATCATCAGAGTCCTTCAAAATAAATTATTGACATTACCGTTCTTCATTTATTTCTTGAGACTTGCATATATGTTGTGGTGGAACATTTGTCCATTGCTCAGCCAGGCTGACCATGTCACCTGCATCCATCAGTCCATATCCAAATTTGTGACTGACTGTGAACATAAGAGTACACAGATATCAGTTTGCATATATGTGAGAACTGATATCAATTCTGTACAGTGGAATTTTAATGACTACCACTTTGAAATCTATACAGCATGTGGTGTAATATAGATACATGAATGCAGTAGTATTTTAAGATGACAACAAAATTTCTGAACTTCCTCACAAATGCAGATGGCTGTGTTCTAGGATGTTGTGCTGTATCATCTGGTAAATATTAACTGATATTTCAGAAGGGCTTACTGCTTCCATCAACAGGCTAATCTATGACACTGAATAACACACATCCCAGAAGACAGCAATCTGTGAAAACCCAAAATATCCCCATAGACAGTGATGTATGCCTTACTACCATTATCTATAATGACATCTGTACAAATATAAATTAACTACCAGCAAACACACAAAAATGAATAATATGACAGCTGAAGTTGTTTAAAAAGGTCACAATTATCTCTCTTAACTACTGCACTATTTTTGTGATGGTAAAACAGATGACAGATAATAATGATTAAAAAATATGGAGGATTGGAAAAGACATGACCACAAAGCAATTACAAAGTAGTATTGCAGGAAATTCAATGCAGGAATGTCATGTCTGATATGAAAAATGATTGCAGAAGACATACACTTTAGGCACATCAAACGTTTATCTTTACTTGCTTCATTCTTCTTTAGTACACAGCATTATTATGTACTGAAGTTAAGATTTCACAATGATCTGAAGCTTTCACGGCAACCAAGTATAATATGTTCTTCTTGGGAAACCAGTCCTGTGATGTGGTTTAATAGAGAAAATACCAATGTTTTAAGAACCATCTTTGTCCTTCAGTACCCTGAGGATGGGGGTGAAGATGATTCTCGAAGCGTTGGTGTTTTCTCCATTAAACCACCTTACATGGTTGGTAGCCCAAAAAGAATTCATTATAAATATTTCACAAGTTCCAATTTAAAAAAGTTTGTTCTACTAAAGAACTGTCCCAAAACAACAAGACTGGAAAGGTGTATTCCATATATGAATATACACCACATGCATTCTTCACAAAATCTGAATTAGTAATAAAACTAAACAAATCATGTGCCTTAATTTAATGTAACACCTGTATATCCATAAACTAGCTTATTTAGATAGTTGGTTTTCTCTAAAAAAATAATTTGTTGTCAAATGTTTTCCACACCTGCACCTGCAAGATTCTGCTTCAGTCAAAATATTAAGAAATTTGTAATATGGCTTCACTTCCAGCAAATCTTAAAACTGTACTCCACAACCATTCTTGTATTCTTAAACTCTATTTTCTCACTGCTTATTTTCATAGGTGTTAAAGCCTTAGGCTTGTAATTAGTAGGTACCCACATAAAATATCAGCTGGCTTACTGGCTGTCCTGATGATTTCTCTGAGTCTTTCCTGTGAAATGTCAGGCTAGTACCTTAAAATATGCCATGACCACTGACTCCCAAATTGTTATCTACTCATCATTGATGACAATTTCCCTAACTCATGTCATCTATAGTTGAAACATTGTCATTAAATGAGTAACTGAGAATCAATAAACCAATTCTTTTTCCTGCAACCTCTTAACTTTATACATCTGCAACTCAATGGGTTAAAACTTAATCTCAAAGCAAATTTATAAAATCCAGTGATATAGTTATGGGGATGTTTTTCTTTACAGTGCAAGCTCACTGGTGGTGAAGAGCATGGAAATATAAATAATCTAAGGAGGCAAGAAAATGTGGAAGAGTAAGAAGATACTGGAAGAGGACTTTGAGGTTGTAAAAGGCTTTATATTGTGTAATCTGTAAAGACAAGAACAATAAGAAAATCAAGCTACTGATCTAACCATCTTTTAATTATGTTACTGTGTAAATATACCCTCCAGCTCTTGTAATCTAATGCACTCATTCAAATTTATATATTAATGTATGGAAATAAATAATAATGTTTTTGTATTTTACACAGAATTCCCTGAATATGATACTTTAAAAATGGTTGCCTTGAGTCATCCCATCAGGATACTAAAAAATTTAACCTTATGGAGCACCAACACGTAATTTTGCTGCATCCGATCCTGGCCACATAAATAGACAGCACAACCATCCTGTAGCTATGTGGGTATAAAATACATCAATACACACAGGCACATGTAATTCTGATCTCGTTGGCTAAGTATTTGCACGCTCGGGTGAACACTACTCTAAACATCATTCCACTGTAGAGATTTTTGTACAGTTCAATGAAGTGCATTTTCCACTATATTGTGACATGGGCATAAAAATGCCCCGTAAAACATGTGTTTTATTACACTTAAAACAAGAAGAAGCCATAAAGAATATGTCGTGAACTACTGGTCGTGCAAAAAGGTCAAGTTAAAATATTAATTTCTACCAGTCTCATACTACAGAAATGAATTATAAATTTCAACATAATATTTTCAAATGCAGTCATTAAGTCACACGTTAACTACATAGTCATCCTGATGCAAGTAATAAAAATATTTTTGTGAAATATCAACCATGCAAATTCACATTATCTTCACCAAATATTATTTGAATGATCCAACCACATAGGAAGAAATAGGGGTAGAGCATTTAGCACCCATGGAAAAGGAAAGAAATGTATAAAATATCTCACTGCAAAATTTTAATGGAAGAAAGAAACCACTTGCAAAACTGAGGAATAGATGTTAGGATAATGTCAAAATAGACCTTATGGAAACACAGTGGCATATTGTGAACTGGATTTATGATGATCTTGTGAACAAGATAATAAACCTTTGCACAAGATTTCTCGACTAGCTGAGTGAGTACTAGCTTTTCCAGAAGGACCCTGCTGTATGGAGTCAGCAGTATTACAACACAAAACTTGCATCACATAATAAAAAGATTGAAAGGAATGAATAAAACTGGCACTTAGAGTTCTTATTCATGAAAAGTAATTCAACTTGCAAACCTTACAAATGTAAAGTATTTGCAATGCATATACTTTATATATATAACCATTCAAATTGTATCTTACAGAAAGAAACTGAAGTAACATGTCTAAAAAATGGTGAGATTAGTCTAAGGATAAACTTGACTTCAAATAGGCTTTGACCTAATCCATATAGGAATGATTGACAATGGTGATGAGTATGATGCAAAGGTATGTGAAAAATGTTTATCACCAACAGACTTAGGAGACATCTCTCTCACTTGAGATGTGGGTTAATTTTGACTTACATGGAAACATGAATTCAAACATTCACGTTTTCACCACATGGAAGATCCGAGTTCTAATAGTAACATTGAAAATGCAACAATGATCCTGTCTATTTGGTGACAGTGTCATAATCTTCAGTACCAGCAGACAAAATACTGAACTTTGTAAGTTACAAATACAACCTTACCTTTTCGTTTCACACCATTTAGAATCCACCCTGCCTCCTTTTCTAGTGGACCAGAACGAGATGAGAGAACAACCAAATACTGCATATCTCTCCATGTAAGACCTGGGTTTGCTTCTAGAGCTAGGGCTGCAATACCAGCTGCCAGAGGTGCTGATGCAGATGTTCCTTAAATACAAATGGTATTATGTCAGAACCTTCAATTTCCACGAAATCAGAGATTTCCTAAGTTACACGAACGACTATAACTGGAAAGTGCCTCATTCAGTTTTCATAAAGTTGAATTGTTAGGTCATATTTTCTTCAAAGATAATCTTGTAGTTCCTCACATCATTACACAGCACAATAACTTTTTTCAGAATGTAATATATATGAGTGTAGAGAATTGTTGTGCTAAAGCATAATATGGACATATGTCATGCTAAATATTTATTCAGATAAAATAAGTTCCTTTTATGCATGCCTGACACACTAGTAATCCAAGCTTTTCTAATTATTTATTGCCCATAAATTTTTTTCTTTTTCCTGCTTTTAAGCATTAATTAATAGCAATGAGAAACTGATTTCATTACCCACTGTAATTTCTCCAACATAACTTCTCAAATATCATATTTCACCACCATATGTGAATTATTCAATTTTTTCTGAATGTGGGACATGATGAGATTTCTTGCCATACCTGTGTGTTCAACAGTGCATATGTGATCTGGCCGCAGCTTGCCATCCATGTCCACAGTGGCCACACTTTTGTCATGTCCAGGGGTGCCAGAACTGTATGTGGTGGCGAGAGTTGAGGAACACTCCTCTAAGTACCATGGCTTGTATCTGCTCACATGACACATCAGGACGAATATAAACATTTACGTTGGAAAACAGTACTTGTTACGTTCAGACAATTGCTTGGAAAGACTAAAACTGAGAGCCAGATTCGTGAATGAAGCCTTGGACCTACAAGATAGTACGAAGTTTCTGTGATCGATTTCTCCTTATTAATTAATGATCTTCCTGGTCAGAATAACATTCTGGACATAATAAATCAAAAGACATCTATTTGTATCATACCAAAAGAGTTATTTTATATGCCAAATAAAAAAATAATAGCTTCAGTGAGTTAGTCTTATAAAAGTGACAATATATGATGATGACCAAAGAATGTGTGTGCATATCCACAAACAAAGACTTGTTCCTTACCAACTGGAGTCTCTAACACTGAGTTCTGTTCATGGGCAGTCATAATATCCACAGCTGCACCATGATCAGACATCATGTTCACATTAAACCTTCCCTTGTGCTACCTGCTATGACACTGTCATTTAAATGGATAATCATGACAAACAGAGGGCCATTTAAAGAAGACTCAAAGAAGGTGCAGTCCAGCTTAAACATTAATATTTCTTCAACAAATATCAAAATATATGTCTCTACATAAAATGAATATGTTACCATATACAGTATTCAATGTACAGATGAGCCAAACAGGTATAAATATGATTCATGTTTTTAAAGATATGAAATTTCTGCAGAATCATAGTTAAAATTCACACAGATAAAGTAATGATGTCTGTATGTGCAAGCATTATGCCACAGGGGAAATGAAGGTAGCATTCTACATACTGTGCATGCTCTGGATGCTATTTGGGGGAAGAGTCCCCAGTACCTGTTGAACAGGAAGCTGGGTGGGCCCCAGAGCTGGTCTAGACATGGCAGCAAAGAGAGACATCTCTACCGCTGTCAGGAATTGGACTCGTTATCCAGCCTATAGCCAGTCACTTTACTAACAGATACACTGGCTCCTTTGAAAACACTTGTATTTGAATGAGACACATTTTAGTTTAAAAGGTGGGATGATGCAGATATGCAAACACTATTATGTTCTACCCTTTCTGTGTACTTACTTGTTCTGAAGTAAGAAACTAGTATGATAGGAAATGGAAATCCTGTTTGGTCTTCTTCAGTTACTTGCACAGTGGTAACTTTCATAATATAACAAAAACTACTGAAATTTCTTTTGGGTGTTTGTGGTTTCTTTTAATGACTGCTCTCAATCAAATCTCACCCATTTTGTAAAACAATGCACAACACAATGTTAATTATATTAGTATTTAAATTAAGTTATCCTCTCATACACATTACACTTACCCTCCCTGTGTGGCACTTGATATGGACAGTGTGAAGATGCTGTTGGTGTAACCATCACAGTTACAAGAGTCAGTGTGTCGCCCACCATTGCCAGATGCCCACACAAATATTGAGCCTTTCCCTTTCCGCCCCTGAAATACGAACATTATTGTTTTATTTTTACGTTCAAAAGCAATTATATTTTTTTAAAGATCTAAATACCTTTACATTTAGAAAAATCAAACTAAGTCTAACATAGTGGGTTACTGATATCTTTGACTTTCCTGTCCACTGAAGAAGATTGTCTTCTGGGATGTTACACAGTGTAGTCTGGCACAAGTTTCATGTGGTACACCATCAAAGAAGACAGTCATCTTCATATTCACCATGGTTGAGACATAAAATTCGCAATCCATCATTTGTGACATCAGTCATCCACTATTTAACTCTATTATTTCCATGTATGTAGTTGTTTCTTGTCTCCATCATTATGTTACCTCATGTCTCACGTGTTATATGTCACTTCATATTGCTCAGCAATATCAGTCTACCAGACACACATCTATTGAGAGGTTTTTAAACCAGATCTCTGGTAATTTTATGTCTCATTTACTTTATTCTTGCATGTAACAAACTCAGAGCCCAAACGACAATACTAAGAGGCCAAGGGTAATCATCCCAACTTTCAAAATGAAACTGAACATTACTGCTGATTCCTAAGATGAAGAATGAACAGTCAATATCAGATGCAAACAGGGAATACCAACTACATCAGCAAAAACAATTGTAGCTGATAAGTACAAATACAAACTGTATAGAAGTGTTGTAAAATGAGCAGTGCCTGGCAGAATTAAAGTTTAATAACCAGAAAGAATATCTTGTTAAAAATGAAAAACCTTGATTTGTAATCAGCAAGCTAAGTGAGATGAATGTAAATTCCAATTTCATACAGCAGAAAGCTAAGAGGATGTTAGACAATCCCAACGCTAGTCTTTATTGGTATTTATTTACCAAAAAGCAGAGTTTAGTCTTCACTTATGATTTCCCTGGAATAAATTCTCATTACAATAAGGTAGTACATTGCTATGTAAAGCAAAGTAAAGTTTGTCCCACTATACGCCATGTAGGCGTTTGGGGTGAGTGGAGGTATAACTCCTCTCTTCCTTGACCTCGGCACTAGATGGGGGTGAGTGGTCAGCATCACGCCCCGGCCGGCTTTACTCCCGGGAAAGGACCCCAGCACCCATTGAAGAGGAGGCTGGGTGGGCCCCAGAGCCGGTCTGGACGCAGAGGCTAGAGGAAAAATCCTCTGCCCCCGTCGGGGATCGAACCCCGGTCGTCCAGCCCGTAGCTAGTCACTATACTGACTGAGCTATCCCGGCTCATACATTGCTATGTATCAACTGTTTTCTTATTCTTCACACTTTTAAGGAACCAATTATGACATATCAAGCACAAATACCAACTATTTACGTCTTTAAAATACAGGTAAGATCCTAAAAATTAATATCAATCAATGATTTCTGAATCATCACTGTCACTTAACTGGTATTTTTATATCAACTCTTTGTACTGTTTCTATGAAAAATGGGCAGTGTATTTTTCTGCTGGTTTAATGTCTATTTCTGCAAACCACACTCATTTTCACCAGAAACACTTGCTTTAACGAGATGAAGGCAAGTGTATGGAATAAATTATCATTATAACATGGTAGTATATTCCTCTGTATCCACTGTTTCCTTATTCATCACACTTTTAAAGAACCAATTAATGACAGATATCAGATAAGCGCACACTGTAACTATAGTTTCCTCTTTAAAAATATGGATACCCTAAAAATGAATATAAATTTTAATTACAATAGGATTATTTTATTTACAGAAATGCTGATAGGAACTAGTTGTACCATAAGTACATCTTTGACATGAACATTTAAAAGCATACTTTCACAAATGAGCCACATTGTAAGGTGATCACATGATGAAGACCCTATTGTGGCTGTTATTGTCGCTAAGGAGGGAGACCATATCTGCATAGAAATTTTACTACTAATGGGCCCATTGTTTTGCCCCTAGATCATACATTTGTGAATATGAAACAGCAGCAAAATGATAGTGATGGGGAAAAACTGAAGAAAACTTGGAGAAAAACATGTCTCAGTGCCAAGTTGCTAGAGGAAAAATCCTCTGCCCCCGTCGGGGATCGAACCCCGGTCGTCCAGCCCGTAGCTAGTCACTATACTGACTGAGCTATCCCGGCTCATACATTGCTATGTATCAACTGTTTTCTTATTCTTCACACTTTTAAGGAACCAATTATGACATATCAAGCACAAATACCAACTATTTACGTCTTTAAAATACAGGTAAGATCCTAAAAATTAATATCAATCAATGATTTCTGAATCATCACTGTCACTTAACTGGTATTTTTATATCAACTCTTTGTACTGTTTCTATGAAAAATGGGCAGTGTATTTTTCTGCTGGTTTAATGTCTATTTCTGCAAACCACACTCATTTTCACCAGAAACACTTGCTTTAACGAGATGAAGGCAAGTGTATGGAATAAATTATCATTATAACATGGTAGTATATTCCTCTGTATCCACTGTTTCCTTATTCATCACACTTTTAAAGAACCAATTAATGACAGATATCAGATAAGCGCACACTGTAACTATAGTTTCCTCTTTAAAAATATGGATACCCTAAAAATGAATATAAATTTTAATTACAATAGGATTATTTTATTTACAGAAATGCTGATAGGAACTAGTTGTACCATAAGTACATCTTTGACATGAACATTTAAAAGCATACTTTCACAAATGAGCCACATTGTAAGGTGATCACATGATGAAGACCCTATTGTGGCTGTTATTGTCGCTAAGGAGGGAGACCATATCTGCATAGAAATTTTACTACTAATGGGCCCATTGTTTTGCCCCTAGATCATACATTTGTGAATATGAAACAGCAGCAAAATGATAGTGATGGGGAAAAACTGAAGAAAACTTGGAGAAAAACATGTCTCAGTGCCAAGTTGTATTTTTTTTTTTTTATATACACCACCATGGACTGTCCTGAATGCAAACCCAGGTCTCATAGTAAGAAGCCAATGACTAACCACTTGAGCTATGGCACAGCCCATGAAGACCTTACATTCTAAGCTATACAAGAGAAAAGACATACAAGACACTGTAAATTTTAACAGACATTAATGTTTTTGTTTATGAAGGCAGACAAGTCTGTAGACCAATGAAAACATGTTTATATGCAAAAAAATGTAAGCCAAGTGCATTAGTTATTTTATTAAGCACAAATATGAAAAGCTTACAACACACCTCATAAGCTCACACAGTCTCTTCATGTTACATCTAACACAGTACTACTACTTATACAAAACAGAAACTTACACTCGTCACTCCATAGATAAATGCTCTGCGGGCTAGCGGACCTGGTCCATCAACAGTTTTGCCATCATCCTCTGGTCCCCAGGAAGCACTGTATATGTCAATATGTTCTGGGTTCAGACCAAGAGCTCGGGCTTCCACAGCGTCATTCACAGTTCCATCCAACATACGAACACCTGTAAAACGCATGAAAATTAATTTTAAAGGGTTCTGACGATGGTGTGTTACACTCAGGGTTAATAAATTCTTGGTCTTTGTCCATCGTCTGGTATTCAAAAGAACACAACGTTTCGGAAACTGGATCTGTTTGCGTCCTAATGTGAAAAGGGAAGGAAACCTACTCAGTTGAGTCCGTTAGAAAGAGATAACAGCTGTCACTGGACCAGCGAATGTTAAAAGGAAGAAGGGGCTATTTTGTAATCAATCAATTCTTATTAGATTTCAGTCATTCATAGCGAATACTTTCTTCGTGACTCCACAGTCAAAGAAAGAACATGGAGGTTTCTTAAGCTATTTTAGACATTTGGTAGAACTCCTTGGACGAGTGATCATTCCGTCGCTAGGCCCTTACCTACACAGGACAACACAACATAGAAAGGCGTGGCGCGATTCAGAGGTAAGACACCACGCCTCACAACGCGCAGCCACTGTGGCCGGCATTTGTGTTGAGAAGGGCCTCAAATAATGGCACAAAATTCCTGTATTGTGTGCAGGAGTTATTCTCTATCTTCATCAATACAAGAGTCATAAGAAAAGTTTTGCAACATATTTTGCACGCTTATTATTCATTCTCTGCACGATGTGCATAAAATGAACGCATATTTGCTAATGATGTCTGTCTGTCTGTCTGTTAGCATGATTAAACTCGAGAACCGATAACTGATTTGGTTAAAATTTCGTATGGACGTTAAGTCACTCGAGAATACCCTAAAATCGTGCTTATAATTTTTTACATACGGTAATACTAACATAGTGGACGAACAAACTTGTGAGGTGGGATCGACACTCAGCAGAACCATATAATGATGAATGGTAATAGAGTTTTGGAAAAATACAAAACTTTGGAATAGTTATTGTTTCTACAATATAAAATAACAAAATGGCGTCAGAAGAAAAAATGTACTTGACGAGGATTCGGTCTCGTGACCCCACGCGTACGAGTCCATTGCGCTGTCACAGTGTCAACATACCTTTTCTCTTTCGTGTCTTTCCTTAGTTTTTCCACGCAAATGGAATAGTATTTATCGTTTCCTTCCCCATCCTTTTCGATTCATTATTCACTACCCATACTATAATTCAAACTTATACAATTTCAGCAATCGACAGCGTCGTCGTTAAACAAACCGAGAATAAATAAATAAACAAACAAATATTGTAGTATCACATAGGAGCCAGTGTTTTGACTGTGTTATCTGCTCGGATCATTCAGCAAAGGACAGATATAAACAATAATGGATCGAGAGGAACACATATTTAAGCAGGCCGTTGATTACTGGAACAAAATAGGAATGCAACTAGTTGAATTATCGATCGATATGGATAATCTTACCATAAAACAATTCAATTCGATCCCAGTTGGATGCGGTGAAACTGTAATCGAATGTAATTGGATACAGTTGAATTAGATATAGTTCAGTATTTATAATAATATTATTTACTTATATCGGTACTTAAACAATGTCTGGCTGTATTCGTAACATGTCATTTAAAATGCAGGATTTTTTTGATTTATTAAATTACGCTTTCTCAAGTGCGCAGGGTACATAAATTTGAATGTTAGGATTGTTGTGAATGATGTATCGAAAAGGATGTGAAAGGAAGCGGTTGTTGTTATTTTCAGGTGTTATACCTGAATTTGCCTCCAGCTACTGAGGAAAAACCAACATAACTGGTATTGTAACCAAGACAGATAATCGAAAACGGTACATTCCGAAGACGAAACAGGAATGCTAATCACATGATCAATGTGTTCAGAAAAGAAGGAAATATGCTCTGGATAGTCTTCGCTCTAATGTAAGCACATTCCCGAAACCAGGCGACAATCATGGGATCTCGCTAAGATACTGTGCTTCATAGCAGGCACACGGCTACTGGTGAAATGGTCACAGTGCAAGAGTCGCTTCGGCAACCATTCCAGTCACATTTTCACATATTAGACCAGTAGAAATGCCTCAGTGTA